GCGCAATGCTAATGTTTTGGGGGAGAAGGCTCTCCTCCGTGGTGTGATACACCCTCTGATTTCGAACGACCATAAACGGAGGAGGAGGGTTTGGGGTTTAGGGTTTAGGGCCAGGTGTAAAAGGGTTTAGGGCCATTGGTCGACCTCTCGTTTCCAAGAGGACTTCAGCTTCGATCTCCTGGGCCTGTCGGTGCAGTGCGAGACGCCAGGGGCTCAGACGACAGGATCTGCTTCGAGTTCTTTTGGGCTGGGTTTGTGGGTGGCCGGCTCGGTGTCGGCTTTGGGGTTTGGGGTTTAGCGGTTGGGGTTTGGTTGGTGGGTGAGCTATGCAGAGTTCTGAGTTAAAGCGGGAGTAGCCGGTAGAGTCCTTGACTAAGAGGTTTTGGAGTTTTTGGGAAATGCGTGGATCCTTGGCTTTCGTGGGAGCCTTATAGCTTTATAAAGCACCTGAGAGACTCACCAGGGGATTGGGGCTGTGAAGTTGTGTCCACAAGAACCGAGTCGCCTTGGAGAGGTGTCTGTCTGTGCTGCGAGGGCTTTTTTTTAGTCGAAGTCTTGCAAAAAAAAGCGCAGCTCATTCCTTGCATTCCACATCCCGGCGTCTGGGTGGCCGCTCGCTTCGTACTTCATCGCCTCAGGCTGGAGTGAAGATCCCCGCCTTGTGGAGGACGTGGCTCGGAAATCTGGGGTTCTTGCTCGAAGATGGACACCTTCTGGAAGCGCCAGACTTAGAAGAGTAGCTCTTGCTTCCGGAAAACCTGTGGTTTGTTAGGTCCTCATATTGGCCCGTAGTTGTCTACTTACATCAGCGATATAGTATGTACATTCACATTTCACCAGCTTGCCTGATGCATATTACGGACACAGGAGCGAACATCTGCAACAGAATGAGTATGAATATGTATACACACATATTGCAGGAGCCGCGGCACTGGTTTGCTTTTCCTATGCAAACGTGGATCACAGTGCAGTTCATATCCATGCACACCAAGTCGAACAGGACATTGACAAGAGGACATCATCCCGCTCCTGCGCTTGTTGATCTTGCAAAGACTCAAAAGTCGCGGTTCTGCAGACGGGTTTCAGGTTTCAGAAACCCGCATCCCCCGAGCCCGAAAAAGTTTGTAGCAGTAGGGCCGTGGGCGAGGAGCTGCAGGATCCAGACCTGTTGGCGTCTTGAGTTGTGTGCAGAGTGGGCGCCAAAGCTAAGCCGCACTGCACCATAGGCCCCCGAAATCAGAATCGGTCAAGCTGCCGCGCCAAGGCATAGGAAACCCAGATGCACAGCTTCGGAATCTTGTTGACCGTTGGCATAAGAAACAGTCGGACAATGGTCTGCACTCCTGGAGATGTATTCAGGGCTCCGGAAAAAAGCTGGTCATGATAACTGGTACATTACATCGAGCATAGCAAGATAAGTAGCAGCCCGTCTTGAACATATGTGCTCACAAAAGGGGACATTGCAACGAGATGAATCAATAGAGTGACCTGCTACTTCCGGCAGCGGGGCGAACATCTGCAAGTGCTGCTCAGGGCGGCCCCCTGGAGCAGTCATCGAGGAGATGGCTCCCGTATGCAGCGAACAGCCGAGCAATCATGACCTCTCAGAGTGCTTCCACAGCGTTTACCAGTAGACACGCAGTCTACAGCACGGCAGGTTCGTCAGTCAGCAGGCTCCATCTCACCCTTCCGATGCAACTACTCCGAGAGTCGTACAAACAACTCGAGTTGTGTTCCATCAAAGCGCCCGTGAACGCCATGTTCCTTTCGTGGATATCAGATGCCGCCCAGACTTGTCCCTCGACTGCCGTACAGTTTGTTCGTTGTGGTGCATGCTACCAAGTTTGCTTCTCGTTTTGCTACTTAGTCGAAGCCAAGGGTGGAAATGGAACGTGGCGACCTCGACACGTTTCCATTGCCTGGCGGGGTCCTTGCTTCAGTGGTATGGATGCTGATTGCAAGATACTCCGCAGAGCAACCCGATACAAGATGTAACTTTGCACATGGTATCGCAAGGTGGTGTAGATGCGGGGGTATGATGTTAGGCTGTTAGGGATGGAGATGATGCGAGTGGAGCGTGTCCGCGAACAACTTTGTTCTGTTTCGGGCCTTTTCAATGGCATTTGCTATGGTGTTGTTCTCGTGAAACCCTGCCAGCGCTGATGTCACAACAAAGCACCCAAGCTCTTCACGATGTTTGCCAGGAGCTGCCCGTTGACCTGTGCACTCCCGAGGCGAAGCGGGCCGGAGCATGCATTTTGAAGAGCTTTGCAAGTGCTTTGGCCAGGTAACTGTGCATCTTGGGGGATGCGTTGTGGCCTAAGCATCGCACGCGCGGAGCAGTACGTGAAACTGACGTCCCCTGCATGTATGACCGAGAAATGCAAGTGGTGCCAGAAGCCACGTCTTTGGGTCGAGGCCTGGGCATATTTGGGCAGTGCAACCTTCCAAGAAGGTCATAAACGCGCTTTCTGCAGAAATGAAGCATGAGCGGAGCAGAGCTTGGGCTCTCTGGTGTCGTGGGACTCTCCATCGGCATCGTTCCATGGGAGGCTGGCATGAAGAAGAAGAAGCACTCCCCAACCCTGTCTCCGAGAGTTCTCCAACGTTCATAACCTCGTCTTGACTTCAATGTGAAGCCACTGGCTTGGCAATAAGGTACACTTCCAGAGCATGTTGTTAAGACTACAATTTTGAAATCTGGGGAGGTGCAAAAAGTGCTTTATGAGACGTTCAGCGGGATGTTGCTCGAACCCCATGTTGCTTTCCGCACTGCCTGTTCCGTGTAAAGCTGTCACACTTTGGGGATTTGGCGGGTGCCAGTTGTGCGCTAGCGTCTCGACGAAGGCCATATCTTTCGAGCGGGCGTCTTTTGTTTGCTTGCTTTCACGCTGCTCTGCGCGCTTCTTGAAAGTTCTTTCGCACATTTTGGGCTCTTCCTCTTGGAGGGCTTCAACGTTCTGGTTCTGTTTAAGTTGGACCGGGGAACCGTGGCCTTCACTGCACTGAAGGGCCCTCGTGACGCGTGGTCTGCCATGATCAACTGATCAACGTAGCGCTGCAGTGGGATATGTGGGTGGTGATGATCTCACGAAGCTTGTGCAACACGGACTGAGGCTGTAGTGATAGTCGTATTATGATTAACAAGAATAATGGCAACATAGCTTGAAGATGGCGTTCCGTCGTGTTTGACGGTGACTTTGGGCGGAAGGTGGCACCAGGCTGGCGCCCTGAATCCACCCCTTGTGCTTGTTTTGGGGCTGACGTGGGGCGACAATATACTAGCATGTGCCAGTTGCTATTATGTACAATAAGCTTTGGTTACAGGCAATTACAGACTGTTGCAATTTTCATACATCACGTATCTGAGAGTGTGTGTGTGCACACAAAATTTCAACTATACGATCACAGTAATAGTCTAGAGCAACCTAGATCAATCACGTTCCCCAGCAACACGCAGTCACGCAGACACTTGTGTGTGCACCAAGCCATCCCTTGAGCCAATGTGATTCTATACACACACGTGCACTTTACTGTGCAGTGTACTGTCTACCGTCGTATGTTAAACTACTCTACTATTCAAACGAGGATGTCCATGGGCCTGCGGGATCCCGTTACATCGAACGGCTTTGATTTTGGAAAGCCCTCCGTGCAGCAGTGAGGCAGCAGAGAGGCTGCTAAATCGAAAAATGAAAACCAAACCCGAAAGAAAGACCCTTATGAATCCCTCCATGGGCTGCAGCTTCAGAGAACCCGGGGTCAGACTGAGACTAAGCACAGAACGCACCCGGTGTTGGTTTAGGATTTAGGGCTTGGGTGTTGGCGGTTTGAGTTCGGGTTTTAAGGTACTGAGGTTTGGGGTGTCAGGGCTTCGGGATTCACCTATTCGCGTTCAGGGGTAGGGCTTGTGGAGTTCAAGGTTTTGGGCCTTAAGTTTTTCCAGTCGCCTTTGCTATTTCATCAGCGGCGAAGGCAATCCATGCGGCCGCTGGGGACTCAGCATTTTCCTGCCGTCTAGTTTCCTGTCATCTCAGACGAACTCAGCCCCGTAATTATCGGCTTCAGCATCGCCCTGAAGAACAACTTCCACAGCCGCTAAGTTCGAGTAAACTCCGGCAGCGTGGACTCCGCTATACCCAAGACACCCAGCAAAACGTACGCGATCTACCACGGTGGATGCGAGTCCCGTCAGGGCAGCCTCCGACTTGACTGCGGACTGGACTTGGGAACGCTTCCGAGTTGTCGAGCTTGCCAAGAATGAGATCGCGTTGCACAGCGGCAGCAGCGGTGGAAGCAAAGTGAGCTTAGATGGTGACTAGATCGTCGTCCCTGACGAGTCGAAGGCGCACTGTGTCTTTTGGCGAGTGCTCAAAGATATCGGGGATCCTTTCCAAATACTGTAGCATCCAAGCAGGGCCCATGTCAGACAGCGGCTAGCTGAGCTTCGCAACAGAAAGCCGGAAGGGGTGGCAGGGTGCGACCCCAGTGGAACATGCCACTTCGTGACAGATTTCTGCGCTGTCCACACCCTGTGATCCCAGTTTGCTCTAGGTGCTGCCCGCAATGTCTATAACATCCGAGCCCTTGCGTCAATGACGGTATAATCTTGCAAGGCTAAAGGCCACAACGGGTCCAGTCATTTTGCAGACCTGTTCACCACTTGGTTTAAACATGTTCAAACGGTCCAACTCGACTGGTCAGAGGCTTGCCTTGGTTTAAACATTTAGTGTTTAAACATCGACGTGTTGAAACAGTTCAAACAAGACCTCCGTCCCAAGCCTGGTGGAGGCTTCCGCAGCTCTTCCCGGTGAAGTCCAGCGGTGGACTATGGGTTATATCCGTAGCGCGACCAGGGATCTGTGCACTGGAAACGATCTTGTCCGCTTCGAAGGCCTAGACAAGAGAGTGGAGATCGCGAGCTGCACAGTGGCAGAAGAATGACCGAAGCCGCCGGAGCCTTCTGCGGCTCCCGCGAAGAGGGTGAGGATTGGATATGATATATGGAGGAAGTGAAGGCGCACTGCCGTGATGCCGAGTTTTACGATCTGCTTACAAGACCTGACCAAGCCCGCGACTTGAAAGTCGCCCAGCCGATGCCGCTGCTGCCGCCCTCTTCAGTGCCAAGAGCGCCGACGACTTGCTTGATCTCGGCGCCCACATCAGCGGCGCCACAAGACATTACCTCGAACAGGGCATCTCAGGTGCCGGCTCCTATAGGCCAACAGACGCTGCAGAAGAACTTGGGGCAGGATCCGCGTGTCCGCTTGCACAACAAAGCACAGTGGTTCACGAGACATCTTCCTGCGGCGGTGCAAGTTCCCGTCGGATGCTGATCACTTGGACCCACATAGCGATTCCGTAGCCATCTTGGCGGGCCGTGAGATACTTCAAGCAAGTTGGTGACTTCCAAAGGCTTGTCATGGCCACCGACTTCAGGAGAGTCCCGCTTGGCTCCAAGTTCATTGGCCACCTTCGGCACGAAACCTCCTTGGATGAGCGGCTGGAGCAAATGAGGGCAGCGCTGGCATCGCTGGAGCTTCTCGGACTGCACTCGGAGGGGAGCTTTGCGGTTGGACACGTTCGTGTGCTGGCTACAGACGTGATGCTGATGTGGTCGGGATGGTTGTGGATACGGGGTGGAAGTCTGCGGGGTTAGTAGCGGTTCTCTCGCTCTTAATATTTTGGGGCGAGTGGGCTGGTGGGTAGGTGGGCGGTGGGATGGGTGGGCGGCTGCGTGAGCGTCGAGGCTCTTCCCTGTCCACGCGAGTTGAACTGTCCAACCCCCCGCGGTGCTGATCGCTGCTGAGCCCAGGTCTTGTGCAGCGCTGATCACTGACATCACCACATGTTCAAGCTCTTGCCGGACATCTTCTGAATTTGACGGGGCCTCAAGCTGCGCAACTCAGCGTTGAAATGGATAGCGCGGCGTTAGACCCAAAGCTTGGATCTGAGCGATTGTTTTTGGCGAGGATTTCTGGCGCTGCGTGCTCGGCACCGCAGCGTGTGCACCGCATTGTCGAGATTGTTACCCGACCGCCTAGCCAAGCTTGAAGGTTGAATTACATGGGCTGTGAGACAGCAGAATAGCTCCCGGTGAACCTAGGAAAGACAGGGCCGTCATGACGGCGAGCTATCTCGCAACTGCTGCTTATTCTGCTAGGCTACTATATCGGCCACAAGTGCTACACCGAGGACTGCCGCGAGGTAGTGCAGCCGCCACTGCTTACTATCACGTAACACGAGAGGCTTTTGGGAGGCCAGTGGCAGCTGAGCGACCTCGTCCTTCCACTGCCCAGGTCGGGCAGCCGAGTTTTGCTTCAGGGCACTTGCAAGAGGTTCCCTTTTGTCGCATGTCGAGTGGAAGCCACCTCCTCGTACACTCTCGACTTGCTTACCCATTGCTGCACGATTTGGTTCTGTAGGACACTTGTGCGTCAGTGTGGGCACCGCTCCCACATTGAGGCGTCGTGTTGAGTCGCGCGATTCGTTGAGGCCCGGAGAGCCACTCCTTCAGGGCGGCCAGAGGCACCGGCCTCTGCCATCCGTGTTTGAGTCGGTTCAGGATCTCACTCTCTGCGAGGCTTGCCATGGAGGCGGAGCTCCAGGAATTAGTGCCTGACGAGGTGCCTTTTTCTCCCAGTCTGTCTTTCGGAGAAGATCTCCATCTCATTTCGTCGTAAGGATGCTCCCGCAGACTGCTTCCCCCTGGACGTCTCAAAGATCATACCGCGGGTGCGTCGAATCGTCAGCATCCCCTCGGCTCCTCGGCCCTGTTACGTAGCGATCTGAGCAGATTGGCAGATTTTTGCTTTCGAGGCCACGGTCCATAATTTTCTTCCCAGGACTTGGGCTGGGACGTCGTTGAGCCCTCCGGCGGCGGCGTGGTGGACTGTGACCTTGCGCGCCTCACTGCCAGGTGCAGCGGGGGAATCTCAAGGGCTCGTCTTTTTAGTTGAACCTGCTCCCCTCCTCTTCGACGTGACGCTTCTGCCCGCCATACTTTCATGCCTAAGCTCGCGAAGCAGAAGCCGAAAACCTGTAAAACCGTTCATTGGCACGCTGAAAGCAGGGAAATCAGTGCTTTGGTGTTGATTGTTCGGTTGAGGAGGGAGACAGCATCCAGCCAAACTGGGCTCAGAACACGAAGACGGTGACGTCGACAAGCAAGGTCTGAAATGACGGCCCTGGTCGTCTGGCTCAATCACGGCGCTCGGTACGACTGTCTGCGCCTCGTTCGCTTGACGCAATTGGCAGCCGCCCAGCCAAACACTACAGCGAGCTTGTTCCGGATCTCCTGTTTGATGGATGCCGGGTTGCGCTGAGGGGTCTTGCTAACCTCTATGGAGATGGCCTCTTTGTGGGATGTGACTGTGCGTGTGCTGGGGGCGTGCGGCGTGCAGGAAGCTGTGATTCCTAAATGTCAACTTGGGATGATTTGGGACTTTGGGATGCTGAGAAGTTGGACTCTGCTTTGTTTGGGGATTTGTCCTTGCTCGGACGCCTGCTCTGCGCCCGTTCTTGCGACCCCACCAGAGTTGGACCTTGGACCCCACCAGAGCAGCTCCGGCGCCGTTTCGGTGTGGCTTGGCAACGCAGCGTTTCGATCTCTGGGCTTGCGTCCGCTTCGTCGGGAGAGGGAAAGCAACACCGCATTTTCTTCGGGGGACCTCAGCAATCGTGCCGGCTGATGCCGGGCGACAAGAGGGTAGATGAGGATAGAGCACATTACACGAGTTCACTGAAGAGGTTCGTGTGCCTGGGCACCCTGAACAGGTTTGACCCCATTCGTAGTTTGAGCTCGATCCAAGATTTAAACTTTGGAACGTTGACAGATTTGGTCCCGAGGGATATGTTGTAGGTAGGACGCTGAACAGTTTGACCCCCTTGGTGCTGCAGATAGGGCCGCAGACACCATGAAGACACTCGTTTGGTTCTGACATCGGTGTGGTTGTCTAGGGCTAAGGCAATTTTTTCGACCTACGTGGGGTTTTGCATCGCAGGTTGGGCCCGGGATGCCAAAACATCGCGCGTTGGTTTCGATGCTTTTTTCGTGTAGATAAACCGGGCTTTTTCATTTGCTTGGGACGCTGCAGGTGCGTGGGAAATTATCGGCATGCCACCTCCTGTGAGAGTGCTTTATACTCTCTTCCACGGCTGCAGGGACAGCGAAGAAGTGCCGTCTTCCCCGACTGCGCGAGACCGGACCCCGCCAGGCCTGGCACTGCGCCTGCGCTGCACGCTGCCTCGAGCCGAGTCCGCGGAGGCGCGACGGTTGAAAAGAGTCCGACAACACCCGACTTTGACTTTAGGGACAAGTAATTAAGTCGTATGTGAGCACTGAGCACATATCTACATTGAATTATATCTCGAATCTTTGGCTTCATTAATTAGTTTGATCTATGGACGCGCGCATACATCCATCATTGTTACAGGCAAGCATGCGTATCTGTCCGTCTGTCTATCCCTGTCTCCTACGTCTATCCGTCTATCCGCATGTACATCCACCCATGTGCACGCGTTTGTGAGAGTTCTATATGAGCAGCGGATTTTATTTGTTATATCAGTGTTCTACGACTACAGTTGTCTGAAGCGAGATCGCCCCTGGCAGTACTTTGTTTGTGGGAACTCGCTCTACTAGGGGAACAAATTTAGGGGAACCGGTTCAAGCGAGATCAAGTGTACTTATCGGGCCTATGATGCAGTCCTATCTGATGTCGAAGCTGTAGGGCAGGCCTGCGCGGCATGATTCTGGCATAGACATTGCTTGGCGAGGGACTTCTAAGTACTGTTGTGTTCTGTCATAGATGTTCGGAGTTGCCTCGTCTAGGTGTTCTGTCAGAGACACATCTGCCCGACAGAATGTTTGCATTCATCTGTTCTGTCATAGGCACTTCTTTGGGGCGGAGTGCCTGTAGTTAGTCATATACAAGTCTTTCCGACGGCACAATGAAGAGTCACGGCCATTTAGGGTGTGATATAGTCGGATCGAAACGAGGTCAACAACGAGATCAAAACGAGATCCAAAGCATTTACATAAGCCTACTCTTTAGAAGGCATTTTGCAGACCTGTTCACCACTTGGTTTAAACATGTTCAAACGGTCCAACTCGACTGGTCAGAGGCTTGCCTTGGTTTAAACATTTTGTGTTCAAAAATCGACGTGTTGAAACAGTTCAAACAAGACCCCCGTCCCAAGCCTGGTGGAGGCTTCCGCAGCTCTTCCCGGTGAAGTCCAGTGGTGGACTACGGGTTATCCGTAGCGCGACCAGGGATCTGTGCACTGGCAACGATCTTGTCCGCTTCGAAGGCCTAGACAACAGAGTGGACATCGCGAGCTGCACAGTGGCAGAAGACTGACCGAAGCCGCCGGAGCCTTCAGAGCCTTCCTCCTCTTCAAGACCGGCGCAGGCCCCTGCGCCTGAGGAGGGTGAGGACTGGATATGATATGGAGGAAGTGAAGGCGTACTGCCGTGATGCTGAGTTTCACGGTCTGCTTACAAGACCTGACGAAGCCCGCGCCAGCTACACTGTTTGCACTGCCAGAGCTTCGGTTTGCACCATGTATGGTGCCGTGCGTGCCGCACAGGTCTCGCAAGGGAGCGCCAGAAAAGGCGATTGGACTACCTGTAGAATGATTCTGAAGCCTGCGTGCTGCAGCCTTTCGACCCGCATCGTTCGACGGATGAAAAGTTGTCGAAAGTGCCTTGTGCTCTTCTCTGAAAACCTGGCATCTCTGTAGTCGGGGCATGGGAACCCCCGCGGTGCTGATCGCTGAGCCCAGGTCCGGCCTTGCCTCCATGGTGAAAGAGGCTGCAGCCCGACCTTCACTTCGATTCGTAGGCAAAGGATTCCGGGGACCGCAAAGGCGACCAGTCCATACGCGGCGGATGTCCATACACTAGAATTCACGATGAATCAGGGGTCATTCTACAGAGGCCAGACACTGCTGACATCATCTCTGATGGCAGGTCTGCAAGAACGGAAGTTTGGGCGTGACCCCTGTGGCAAAATCCAGCAGGAGTGACGAATCAGAGGATGCAGATTCAGCCTTCACAAGTCGTGTGAAGACTTGGACGCTGCTGCCTCGCTTGTGCTTCGACATGCGCGACCGCCTTGGCTCAAGCCTCAGCACTTTCACCATGTTACCGCGCCTGTGTGGCTTTTTTTTAACACTGGCACACTTCTCGCACGCCCGAGACGTGTGCCCCTCCGACACAGCGTTCCCTTCGCAATCTCTGCTGCAAAAGTCGTGGTACCCCCTCCGACACAGCTCTCTCACATCCGGTACAGTCGAGAGCAAGCGGGGCGAGCACACTTTGGACGCTCAGATTTGCAGGGTGGCGTTGTGCCGGGATGAGTATTATGTGGACTGCCCCGCTTCTTGGGCAACTCGGCTGTGGAAAGTTCCTCGTGACATTCGGAGGCTGCCGCTGCTGAAAGTGTTGCGCTGTCTCCTTCTTTAGTTCAACCTGCGTGTTTGTAGGCGGAGGTCAACAGAGGCTTTCTCGCGATTGCCTGACTCATGAGGTATATGCGGTGCGGGGCACTGACCCCAACGGTTTCCGAGTCATCAGCCTGGACAGAGATGTGGGACAGCATGTCGAGTCAATCCAAGTCTCTGAAGGCTGTGCGAGGGTGATCGTTGTGGATGAGGACTCCTCTTCATCCAACGACAGATAGGGTCAACAAATCAGGGACAGGAAGTAACTATTGATTTGTGTTATGTCCCTCGGTCTCAACGGTTTTTTTGTACTGTTCAAGACGTCGCGTGGCACAAGGAGAATCCGGACGATCAGACTACTTGTTCCGTATAAAAATCAAAGCGCCTGGAGTTTTCACACGTTCCGGGCGAGCGCAGCGGGGGCAAGCCAGCAGCGTGCTTGGCCTGCAAACGATGAAAGCAAACACAGGCTGCTGTGCAGTCTGTACTTGCGAGGCTTTCTGAGGGTTTGGGGGCCCTTCCCTGCCTGATCACAGCCGGAGTGCCGGAAGTTGTCGGCGCCACGAATTCGGCAGATTTATCACCACCATGATTTCTACGATACGCATTATTTCACCCTCATGGATAATGCGGATGAGGTCACAGAGTATGCGACTGACTTTTCCCTTTACGCCCACGATGGAGGCTTGCGACCGATTCAAAGCATTTGCCCCGCAGGCTATTTGGTGATCCCTGGGCAGGGCACCATCATTGATACGAAGGAGGCTTTTGAGGCTTACGCGGCCTGTGAGGAGTCGGATGCATGCTGCGTCTTGGCACAATGTAAGAACAGACACAGCAGGTGGACTCGGGCATATGGGCTAGGCATGCAGGATGAGAGAGTTGGAATACCCTCTGGGTGAGTGTGAGCATGTGTCTTGTCGTTTGTCTGTCTTGGGGGCTGGCTCAGGTGGTCTGACGGAGGGCGAGGGCTTGCAATACACCAGTTCGGTCCGAAATTTGGATATGGTACAGTGCGATGTGAAGAAGCCCGTGGATGGCAAATACTTCAGCACCTGCATCAAGAGTGCAAAGGCTGAGGTGGTCAGGCAGAAGGTTGCACTGCGGAGCATGAACGACCCGTTTGCAAAGCTTGTGTTTGGGCGACGAATGGAGCAAGCCAAGAAAGATCAGCTGCTACAAATACTCCTGGCCAGCCAAGACTCGCAACTCCCCTCCTCAGCGGTTTACAACTTCATGACAGTCCTGGAAGGCTACATTGGCTTGGAATGTGTGGGCCTCAGCCGAAAGGGTTGTAGGCTTCTTTCTGTTTGACATGCTGCGGACATGCGTTTGCGCTGATGCCGGCTGCTGGGATGATCGCAAGTGCTTGCAACAGATTTTTCAAGCGGTGGCTTTGCGGCCGTCGAGAAGCATGCGGTGTTTGGTGTTTCTTTTTGGATCGGTCTTCCTCCCTAAATACGTGGCGTTTGCAAGCATCGAACTTGAGGACCTTTTCGGTGGGCGCAGCCTGTCGTGGGGCTTTGTGCTTGGTTCCGGCACGCTTCCACTTCGAAAGTGACGGCCGCGGGTTGTTCCAGACCGTCCCTCAAAAAACCTCGTCGGGGGGCATCGGACAGATTCTGACAGTTTCCTGTTTGCAGTCGTCTCGCATCATCTCGTGAACCCGCATGTGAAACAATTTGTGTGGTTTCTGGCGCGGAGGAGGATTTTGTTGGGTTCGTCGTCCGTCGTCCTCCCAGTGCTCCGAGGCGCAGCCTCCAAGTTCGAGGACGAGATCTTGTCAAGGATCACGGCTGAGATCGGCCTCTTGACCCAGGCAGCCATGGCTGTGGAGTTTGGAGCCGGAGGTACTCACGAGACCAAGTGGGGCAGAGAACTCGCCGACAACTTCCGGCACTCCGGCTGCGATCAGGCAGGGAAGGGCCCCCAAACCCTCAGAAAGCCTCGCAAGTACAGACTGCACAGCAGCCTGTGTTTGCTTTCATCGTTTGCAGGCCAAGCACGCTGCTGGCTTGCCCCCGCTGCGCTCGCCCGGAACGTGTGAAAACTCCAGGCGCTTTGATTTTTATACGGAACATTACAGGCAGTTGCCTGCCAACCTGAAGATGCACCTGAAACAGTTTGCCGTGGTGCTTGCTGGGACACTCTACAAGGATTCCATGTCTATGTGTGTATGTGTGTGTGTGTGTCTCTCTCTCTCTCGCTATCTCTCCCTCTCTCTCGCCGCTATCCTGTCGCTGTCGCCGCTCTCGCTCTTGTCGCTCTGTCTCTCTCTGTCTCTCTGTTTCTCTCTCTCTCTCTCTTTCTCTTTGTCTCTCTCTTTCTCTCTGTCTCGCTGTCTCTCTCTCTCTCTCTTACCTTACTTGGCGGAGGGGTCTCACGACTCACGCAATGCCCTGGAAGGATTTTGCAGAAGATGCTTATGATGACGACCGCTATGACAGTCAGCGAGAAGGTGGCCACCGAAAATCGTTTCGAACAGTCCAATCAGCTGAGGGAGCGGATGCTGGCAAACCCGTCGGAAAAGAGGTGGCTTTATCGGCGAGTCCTCACTACGTATCATGACACCACTCTGTGGCACGACTTTGTTGAAGGTCTTGATGTCCAGAAAGTGGGCGACTTTACCACCACCTTCATCTTGAGAGCGCACCTCATCACACGCTTCCTGTACGGCGAAATGACACCAAAATTCCTGAAGCTCTGGGACAGCTCTGCAACTTGCACTCGTTGCTGGCCGTCTTCTTGGAAGGAGTACCTGCATCTGTCACAGTGACAATTGGTGGTGAGAGCAGGGTGGTCGGGGACTCACAAGTAGCGTACCAATCGCAGGAGCGCTTGTCTGTATTGCCAGCTTGCGTGTCACGTTTCGTGAGCACGAGACTTGCAGGTTGCGCTTGAAGACATCATCGCCTTCATATCTTTCTTGAGCAGCGCTCAAATGCTGTACATATGCCCGTGGAAACACTCTTCGCTTCCGACGAGTACACGAAGAATGTGGAGGCTCTCGAGACGGTTGCTTCTGCCGTGCTGCTGCAAGACAACGCGACGACTCCGGATGCCAGAGAAGCGGCAACTCGGGATTTGAGCGTGAAGGCTGCGGTGATCAGGAAACTTCTCCTCGACACCGTGTTTTGCGAGGACTCTGCTTGTGGGCACTTTTTCGTGCTTGTGCTTCGGAGTTTAGGGCCTTCTGAGGCTCCAGTCCTTTACGGCGTATTGAAAGTCTCCCCATGCTGCCTCAGTTCAGCTCGCCCGGGGGTGTGTTTGCAGGGTTTTTACACCGCGGACAGGGGATCCGCGGGATATACGTGTGGCCAAACCTTAAGGCTGTTAATTCCCGACAGCACATACTGTTGGGTTTCAGTCTTCTTTAAAGAGAAGAGGCCTGGATCAAAGTTGCTAGGGACGGCCGACGACGGAAAAATCCGGAAATGATGGGAATTGGCTGCGGACAGCCAAAAGACGACGGAATAATCCGGAAATGATGGAATATGAAGGACGGGAGGCCTGGATCTAATTGGCTGCGGACGGCCACAACGGCACGACGACGGAATAATCCGGAAATGGTGGAATATGAATAACGGAAACTCTCCGGACATGACGGAACATAAAGACGGAAGGACGACGGAATAATCCGGAAATGATGAAATATTGATGAAATGTGAATGACGGACATTTGGAACATAAACGACGAAAAAACGACTGAATAATCCGGAAATGATGAAATAATCATGAAATAT